GAGGAATGAATGAAAGGATATGCGATTGTTCTTCTACTATTGTCTTTAACAAAGCGATAAATGAATCCAAAGTTTGTTGTAAATATATATATCGAGAGTTAGACGTTCATTCGAGATCCTCTAGATGAATGTGTTCTTTTGAAACGCTAATTAGTCGTTAAGTTTTATCCTCGGAGACACGGTGTCTGACTGTAATGTTTAAAAGAAGAAATGAAAAATTGAAAAAAAAAAGAAGAAGAAGAAGAAGACGCGTATGAATCTCGTTATTTATTATTGCCATTGATGGAATTGATGTCGGCGCGTAGCCAGTGTACTAACGGGAACCTCGATAATCGTTACGAAAAATCGCCTATTTCTTCTCGTATTTCAAGTAATTCATGCCACGACGAAGAGTACAAGGAGATACCCGACGACGATCAAACGACACGAATAAAGTCTCGAACGCATACTGCCATACGGTCTTTTGATAATTTATTCGAGTACTATTGCAAACGATTTACAATGTTCAACGTTGCTCGCATCATCGGTTCGATGTCCAAGTCTGAATTCATTTTATCTATGGAAGTATCATTTGAGAAGAAATTTAGTCGACGAGAACATTGGCAAGCGATTAGAAAAATGTAACATAATTATATTATTGTGAATCTTATTTCTCTTGGAATAGCTTGAATCGTAAACGAATTTAATTTTGAAGGGAAACAATGGTATAATAATGATTTTCAATGTACACTCGCGTGCAATGATGTCCCTAGAAGATCTCCTAACACTCATCTTCGGTCATAAGAGAAATCTTCCTGTTCTTAGATACAAAGAATAAAAGCTAGTGAACCAAATATGGAGAAGGAAATCAATATTTCTTCTACTTTTTCTTAATTAAACAAAGCCATCCTTGCACGCAGGTATACACCTTGCGTTGTTCGCCAATTTTCTCGCCGTCTTATAATATCATATGTATCAAAGCGTATTTTCAAATCTACGAGTCCTACCCTTTGACAAACCGACTCAACGTTAAATCAAACATGTTCACGTGTTCAAACGAGGGTGACTTGGTGAATTAGCAAGGCTTCCTTGCTTCTAGTGCTTGGATACCGACGAATCGACGATTCGATGAACGTCTTTCTCGCAACCGTCGCCGAACATGAAATCGTAGGGTGGCGGCCAGATGCTATCTGCAAGATAAACGGCTCGTTGTGCGAACAGAGAAGACTATTCTCATAGTGCAGGATCATTTGGTCAGTATCCGGCGTATCTTGTGGTCTTTGCGTGCGTGCCTTGCATCGTTAGAAAAGTTTTAATTATAATTTAGTTCTATGCTGTCTGTGCGCGAACAAATTCTTTCTATTTGAAGGAATCAGCATCGAAGCTGAACTTTTCTTATTATACTTGTTAGATACTTCCGTTACGAATGTATCGCGCATGCGCGCGCGGTGAAATCAAGCGAAAGGTAGGAGAGCGTAGCGAACAAAGCAGAAGCAGCTCAGCTCGCGACCAAAGTACACGTACGATCTTGTCTCGTTATTTTTATAGTTTTTCTTTCACTAAATATATATCTACGTATAATTTGTTCTGTTCGTGACCACGAATTTATTTCATTACGCCTGAGGTTTCGGCATTCTTCTCTTTTCCGAAATCGGAAAGGAATTTACATTAACACGTTAACTGCCATGGTGGTCATATAAAACTGGCGCCTCAAATTTTATTGAGTTAAATAAATTAACAAAAAGAAGAAAAACAAACCTTGCATATTATTAGCAATATTTTAATAACGTAAGATACTAAATTAAAATTTCTAATTTGAAAGTTAACCGATCGTATTCTTAATAATTGTAGTTTTCATATACAGGGTGTTCGACAACAGGTGGGCAAAATTTTAAGGGGTGATTCTAGGGATCAAAATAAGACGAAAATCAAGAATAACGAAATAGCGTTTGCGGCTTTGTTTTCCAGTAATTATCGTTTAAAAATTCGAGTAAAAAGCGCCTGAAACCTGCAATCCGCCCAGCACCGACGACTGAACGTCAGGTCAGCAGGGGTCAGTACAGTAATCGGTGCTGGGCGGATTGCAGGTTTCAGGCGCATTTTACTCGAATTTTTAAACGATAATTACTGGAAAACAAAGCCGCAAACGCTATTTCGTTATTCTTGATTTTCGTCTTATTTTGATCCCTAGAATCACCCCTTAAAATTTTGCCCACCTGTTGTCGAATCTCCCTGTATGTTTGACTATACGCGTCCACTTCTACTGTGGCAGTAAATGTGTTAAATACATAACAAATTTCGATCATTCATTAATTGATACGTGTAAATTGTTTATTTGTTATTAAAATTCGCGCAATGACCACAATATCCAACAATACCGACCATCATTCGCACGCCATTCGCTTCGTTACCAATATATCTTACAGTAGCCAGAGATAAGAGCCAAAGAAAATCTTTTTTAGATTGTTAAGAGTACATGGAAACACCGTTTCAGCTGTATACCGCCTGTACGTCTAAACGATCGAGTCTGACCAGCTGCTTTCGCGAAAGAACAGAAAAAAAGAAATAAAAAGAACATAAAATCATTCGAACGAAGTTTGTATATGTAATTAGTTTAGCGATATCCGACACAAATTTCATGTACCCCGTAAAAGGAGACGTTTTTTTGATATTGTAAATACTCTGAAATAAATAATCGTTTTTATTCAAAGTTGCCCTTTACCCTCGCACTTCCCCTTTTGCATAAATCAAATAATAAATAAAAAGTTTGTTATTTACAGATTAAAATTAACTGCACTTAAGAAGCGAGGGAACAATTAAGAAAGCTCGTGATGTTCTTACCTTGATATAAATTAATGAATGGAACTTTGGAATGCACTTTAAGGTACTCTTCAACAGACAAAAGAATTGTAGTTTTCGCGTTCAACAGATATTCTATCACAGTGCTTTCGGGTAAAACTCGTGTAACCGCGTCTCCCATGTTGCTTACCACGTCTTGCATCGGAATTAACTTTTTTTTAAATACGAGGTAATTAATTTTAATGAAATTTATCGGCTAACTTTACGGTCTAGATTATTTTCACCGTTTCGTTTTATTCTTACTTACAGAGTCATGAGCCGCATTCGAAATGCTATCGCAGAATCGATATACCTTCTTGAGACAATTGCTCACTTGCCCTTTAATATCGTCCAATTCGTATGATCTTGGGATATCGAATAACGAGGGTGGAATTGCGTATATATAAAACCATTCCGTGAAAAATCTCTGTAACCCCGAACACGCCAAGTAAGGTAATATATAGATCATTTTTTTTTTAATATACACCTCACCTGATGAGCATGATGATGAGATGGAAGAAAAATTGATTTACCAAGATCAAAGTCATGAAGACCGTATAAAACCTTGAACTGCTTGTAAATAATCTCCTCCGACGCCTATGTTAAAATTGACAAATAGTTTCAATCGAAATTTAAATTCGAAGTAATTAGCTCACTTCTAACACGTGCACATAATATTGCGGATAAACAAGGAGTAATCCAGTGATAGGGACATTAGTGTATTCTGCTTGTAAATCGTGTATTATAGATTCTATTTTCTAGAAATTATATCCATCAGTAGAAATATAAATATTTTTCTACTGTCTTATTGTTAATTTTGTTATTCATACCTTTTCCAAATTAGCATCAGTACCACCATACATCCCGATATTTACCATACGAGTTAAGTACGTAATCTATAAACGATATATACATAAATACGTTGATATTGCAGCTCTAATGAGATATAGTAATTAAGACGATAGATATCATTAAAATACAGCCTACTGTTTTATTAAGCAATGATAATGTCGTTAAAACAACTCATTGAGAGAAAATGAGATATTTAGATATATAAGTAAATGAAATAAATGATAATTAATACTAAACTCTCTTACCTTTCCAGCAGTTCGAAGATTTTTCTTCACTACGTCCAGCAAACTCTTTCTGACAGGTTCAGTCACACGTTTCATAACATATAATGTTATAAATACAGACTTTATTAATATTTTGGAAAAATAATACAGGAAAAACGCGTTTTGTTAACCAAATTTATGCAGTTACGGTTTAAAATCACACGACGGACGTGCGCAGTTACTACGTTGCACGTTCAACTTCCAAAGAAATGATCATTTTCAAAAATATTAATCATTTCATTGCAACTTTACGATGAAACTATCGTATAATAAAATTTCCACTATATATTAAATATTTCCTAATTCATCAGATTGTATAATTTTTTCTGATTAGTTTATAATTTGTTGAATGTTGTGGAACAAACGCTTCCGCATTACAATTTTAAACACATTCAAAATAAGATTTATTTTACATGGGTACTATGAATAAATAATACGAACAGATTGTTTTTCATGTGGTTTTATTTTATTTGAATACAAATATGTCATGGAATAATGTATAATAAAGCGATGTAAAAAATTAAAATTTACTAAAATCAATCGAAGTAATTAAATTGTTCACATATGTATGTATGTACAGAGCATTAACACAATGTTAACAGCGACATTAATACTTAATTACTTATTGCTATATACTACTATACGAGTGCAATAGTAGTAAACGGCGATTTTAAAAATATTAACTTTTGTAGATTTAATATGAAATAAATATTAAGTTATCCTTAAGTACAAGTAACTTAGTTATTGTGGCAATCATAGTTACTTCTTTGCTTTTGGATAGTCTACTACTGGAGGTGGAGGTGGAGTTGGTTCACTAGGATTTCCCAACCACACAGATTTACTAAAACGACCTTTTATAACAGGGGCCTGCCATTTATTGATGCACATAACTGTAACTGTAGGCTTCTCTGCAGTGACTGTTGCTATAGTTACTGCTCTGAAAGTGAAATAAAATCTTTTTAAAGAATTATAATTATAAAGAATATTAAGGAATTTGTCAAAAATTCGTTCCCTATGTTTTATACCCTATGTTACTTAACATTTTGAGGTAGGAAAAAAATAATAAGATTTACTTTAATATACAGATCATTTATTAATTTTAAAAAATGTTACAAATTGAATACGAAATGTGTTCCCTGTATGATCTTTTCTAAACTATGAGACAATATATCCAACTTTACATACATTGTACTTTGATATTTACAATCATTCAAACACTTAGCAAAAATATATAGGATTTAATCAATTCACATACTTAAAATGTATGGTGTAATAAATCTTCTATGTATATTACAAAATACATCGTAACATTATCATTCAAAATTTTCTTGCAACGTGGAAGTAGCAAGTTTGTTGTAAATATAAACAAATTAACGACAAATTTCTTATTTCATCAATACTACAAAGCTTTAGATAGAAGATACACTTCATATGTATTTCACTGAATAAAAAGTATAAAAATGACAATTAATATAAATTGATATGGATTTACTAAAAATAAAAAATGTATAATTATTAAAAAATAATAATAATCACATCCTTTATTATATAAATATAAATCTAACAAATTTCGCACGTATAGTGCACAGTTGTAAGGAATAACAAACAATATGAAAGTATTAATTACAATAAAAAATAACTGAATCTTTCTAATGCCAAGGCACTTGGTTTGGATGACTGATGGAACCCAATTTGTAGTACCTTGTTGTAGAAGGTGTTTGCTGTGTCCCTGTTGTGTGATTGGGGGGTGTTGCTGCTGTAGGCGTTTCTGCACTCTGAGCAGAAGTGCCGTCGCCTTTCAATACAGCAACACATTTCCAACTGTTAATATAATTATCTTTCCACAACCGTACACAGCCATCATCTCCTGAACTTGCTAAAATAGTTCCCATAATATTCCAGCACACTCGCCATACGGTGAAATCATGATCAAAGAACTGCGCGGCCGTGGAGATTTCAAAACGAGGTGAACCGCTTTGTGCGCTATCCCTATGTTAATAACAGCTCCATGTAACTTCTTTCTATTTTTATCTAAGTTTATTCGTAATTTATACTTACAATATAGGCTTCAATGTAATTATTCGTACATCTTTTGATGCAATAGCTAATGTATGAAAACTTCTACCTAAATTCGGAGCAAAAGCAATATCATGAACAGGATCAACAATGGCTAATGTTTCTGTTTTTGCCCATCTTCTACTGCTTTCAGAGTACTCGTATATAAAAACTTTTCCTCCGGATGAGGGGTTTGAATCATCACTTCCAACTGCTATCATTGGAGGATGTAACCTAATATATTTACAATTTGTTAAATACACAATTGAAATATAACTTTAGTTTAAATACTTTACCTTGACAGAGATGGATTCCATGAGAGACAGCTACACTGAAGTTTGCAACTTATATCATGCTGTAAGGTCCATTGACTTAAATTCATAACATCCGGAGCTTCATAAATTCTTATTACTCCATCTTCGCTACAAGTAGCTAATAGAAGACCTAATGTTTTAGGTGCAAATTTTACATCAGTTACAGACTTTCTGGAATCTACTAAATTTGTCCTCCTAACCCAATGCCTCATGCCACGTTCCCCTGGACCTGACCCTTCCCCAACTATGCATAAAATGTAACATAATTAGACATTTATAGAATATAAGTAATTAGTGTGTAATCTTACCTATTTCTTCCCACACAGCAGCTGTTCTATCAAAAGAGCATGTTGCAAGAACTTGACCAAATTCAGGATGTGCCCAAGTTACCTTCCATACAGAACCACTGTGTGCTTTCCATGATGCAGTTAAGTGCCAATTACCATGTTCATCTTCATCCCAAACCTATAAAGATTTTTGTAATCGTTACAAATTATTAAGACAATAAACCTTCATAATATAAATATGCACATAATAATACACACTTTTACAAACTGATCACTAGAACATGTTGCCATTCTTTGTCCATAAAAGTCATAAGCGATATCATGAATCAAATCTTTGTGCTCAGCATTAATACTATGTGCTTCGAACATTTTTAACGTATTTATTATATTATTTATTTATTTATTTATTATTATATTCAGTATTTATTGACACGTATTAATGTGATGTACAGGTTAGAATGTAATCTTGAAATGCTTCATAAACCTAGTTGTATATCAAAATATTAAACAACTAAATTTTTGTAATATCATATAAAGACCAGTCACGATGGGATAAAATCATTTACTCCTTCAATATTCATTTGTAATTTTTATATTACTACAAAGGAGGGAAACACTATACATGTATTTATAATATTAGCATTGCTTAGGATTACTTCAGTTTTATAAAAAAACGAGCGTCGAAAACTTTACCGACAGTCCTTAGAAAAATCCCTAGAAACGAGAACACAAATTACGTCGAGAAATAAAAATTTAAATAGATATAACAATAATTTGACTAATAAACAATTGTAAAATTAAAATTTTACTAATTCGAATACAGTTAGCTGGCTGCGGCACCGTTATTAACCATTCGACGTATTTAGAACGAAGTGAAGCATCATCAGTCTTATAGCGACCGCTGAGGGATGAAGATAAACATATGTATGTACATATACCCATATTTTATTTTCTGCGTTCATTTAATTTGCTGTATTTATCTTCTTAGCTTATTGAATAAACCTATTAGCAGAACGAACATGTTGATTTTATTACTCCTCCTGTACATCCCTGATTCCTTTACATCTCCGCACTCCTTTCAAACCTCCCTTATTTACATCACAGCTTTCCTTACATCCCTTCAACCCTTTCCTTGTATCCCTGCAACCCTTATAATAAATATATTACAAATATAATAATATATTACAAAAACTGATTCGAGTAAAGGTAAGTAAAGGTAAGTAGTCTCATCCAAATTTAGTTCCCTTTTTTGCCACCGGATGGCGCTGATTCGACGTCGAAACTTTAGTTCAAATTTTTCCCGCTAGAGGGCCAAAATTTCGGCAAGGTTTAGTTCCTTTTTCTGAAACCAGATGGCGCTGATTCGACATCGAAATTTTAGTTCAAATTTTTCCCGCCAGAGGGCCAAAATTTCGGCAGGGTTTAGTTCCTTTTTCTGAAACCAGATGGCGCTGATTCGACATTGACATTTTAGTTCGCATTTTTGCCGCTAGGGGCGCTGTTTTTCAAAATTTTCGCAAAATTCTCGAACTTACCTTTACTTACCTTTACTCGAAGCAGTCTTTATAATATATTTATTATAAGGGATGCAGAGTTGTAAGGAATGAAGGGATGAAAAGAGTTTAGGGATGATAGGAATGTAGGGATGAAAAGGATGTAGGGATGTAAGGGATGAAGCGATGTAAGGAATGTAGGGGATGAAAAGAGTGTAGGGATGAAGAGAGGTAAGGAATGTAGGGATGAAAAGGATGTAGGGATGTAAGGGATGAAGCGATGTAAGGAATGCAGGGGATGAAAAGAGTGTAGGGATGAAGAGAGGTAAGGAATGTAGGGATGAAAAGGATGTAGGGATGTAAGGGATGAAGCGATGTAAGGAATGTAGGGATGAAAAGGATGTAGGGATGTAAGGGATGAAGCGATGCAAGGAATGTAGGGATGAAAAGAGTGTAGGGATGGAAAGAGTGTAGGGATGAAGAGAGGTAAGGAATGTAGGGATGAAAAGAATGTAGGCATGTAAGGGATGAAGCGATGTAGGAATGTAGGGGATAAAAAGAGTGTAGGGATGGAAAGAGGTAAGGAATGTAGGGATGAGAAGAATGTAGGCATGTAAGGGATGAAGCGATGTAAGGAATGTAGGGGATGAAAAGAGTGTAGCGATGAAGAGAGGTAAGGAATATAGGGATGAAAAGAATGTAGGGATGTAAGGGACCAAGAGATGTAAGAGCTGCAGGGATGTAACGGATGCAGAGATGTAAGAGATGCAGGGATGTAAGGGATGCAGGGAATGGGATGCAAGGAATGTTGAGATGTAAAGGAATCACAGATGTAAAGGATGCACACAGGAGTAATACAATCAATACGTTCATAATGAGTTTATTCAGTAAGCTAAGTAGATAAATATAGCAAATTAAATGAATCTGCATACCGACCTGAGATCTTGGGGTGGCGACGACCCCAAAACACAAGGGACACTCTTTGCATACCGACATTATGGCTACCGGGGTGTCGGGGACCCCAAAGCACGAATGACTTTCTTTGCACACCGACATTATGACATCCGGGTTGTCGGAGACCCCAAAGTACGAATGAGTCTCTTTGCATACCGACATTACGGCATCCGGGGTGTCGGAGACCCCAAAGCTCCAATGACTCTCTTTGCATACCGACATTATGGTATCTGGGGTTTCGGAGACCCCAAAGCACGAATGACTCTACATACCGAGATTATGGCATACGGGGTGTCGGAGACCCCAAAGCACAAACAACTCTCTTTGCATACCGACATTATGGTATCTGGGGTTTCGGAGACCCCAAAGCACCAACAACTCCCTTTGGATACCGACATTATGGTATCTGGAGTTTCGGAGCCCCTTAAACACCGATGACACTCTTTGCATACCGACATTATGGCATCCGGGGTGTCAAGGACCCCGAAGCGCCGGTGATGCTTTTGGCATACCGATGTTATGGCATCTGGGGTGTCAGGGACCCCGATGCATCGGAAGCGCTCTCTGCTAATCATCTTGGGGTGCCAGCGACCCCATAAATCATAACCGCTCTAAAACAGACATGCCCAGTGGTCATTGATCTTGTATTACAATTCTGCACATTTGTTTATTTTCCCAACAGAATCATTGTAGATATGTGTATGGTTTAAAGTTATTACATTCTGAACAAGTAATTAAGCCTTGGTAAGTAATTAATTTTCGCAGTTATAATTGTATCTCATATGTTTAATTTCAGGGTTGTTAACATCTTTCAACATAAGTTCCAAATGTAATTTTAGTATAGGTTAACAATGTTTTTCTTATTATGAAAGATAGTTATATGAGTTTCTCAATTGTATTTTAGAGTTTTCGGGTGAAACACGTATCTCAGTTTTTGGGAATAGTCTTCTGTAGAAGTTCTAAACCGTTATTAAACATTATGGCACACTATAAAGGAGCAGCCAGTGAAGCTGGCCGTGCAATGCAGTTAATGAAGAAGAGAGAAATTGCTCAGCAAGAAATAGAATTAAGAAAAAAGAAAATAGAAGATGATCTGAAAATACATAACATAGAAAATAAATTTGCAACTCATTACAATGCTGTTGAACAACAGTTGAAGACTTCCACTATTGGATTAGTCACTTTAAATGAAATGAAAGCAAAGCAGGAAAATATAGTAAAAGAACGCGAGAGGAAACTTGCACAAAAGGAACGTGAAAAGGAACAAGAAAAGGAACGGGCTCTTGCAGCTAAGCAAGCTGAAAAAAATAAGCAGAAAAAACAAATACAAGCTTTATCATTTAATTTAGATGAAGATGAAGTAGAACTTTCTGATGAGGAAACAGAACCAAAAATAGAGAAATCAAAAGATGATGATGATGATATTGGGCCTCTAGTCAAAAAAATAAAGAAGAATCCAGATGTGGATACAAGCTTTTTACCTGATAGAGAAAGAGAGGAAGAAGAAAACAGATTAAGAGAAGAACTGAGACAAGAATGGGCTAGAAAACAAAATGCACTAAAAGAAGAAGAAATTGAAATTACTTTCAGTTATTGGGATGGTTCTGGACACAGAAGGAGTGTTATCATGAAAAAAGGTAAAAGTCTATTCATTACTACAATTATTATTAGTTATTAATTTTGTTAGTTATAACTTTATACTAATTGTTAATAGTTCGTACTATCGGCAGGTAATTCCATCTATCAGCTCCTTCAAAGATGCTTGGAAGTTTTACGACGCGAATTTAGTGAACTTAAAACAGTGATGGCTGATCAGTTGATGTATGTTAAAGAAGATCTAATACTACCGCATCATTATACATTTTATGATTTTATTGTAACAAAGGCAAGAGGAAAAAGTGGACCTCTCTTCACATTTGATGTTCATGACGACATTCGTGTGATGCATGACGCTTCTGTGGAAACAGAAGAATCTCACGCTGGAAAAGTGTTACTTAGGTATTATATATTTCAGTACAAATAGTTTTACATTTATCAATTTTCTTTATTAATTATAAATTATATTTTGCTACAGGTCTTGGTATGAAAGAAATAAACATATATTTCCTGCTAGTAGATGGGAACCTTTTGATCCAACAAAAAGTTACGATAAATATACGGTATCAGATAAAAATAGGAAAAAGGATAAAATTTAATGGAAAAGAAATTATATAGGAAGTAATTGTACAAAGAAATTAATAATTCATATTGCGTTCAGTAAAGAAAAATTTATCGTTTTAGGATAATTTCAATATTGTATATATTACATTTTTAAAATATATAATTCATTTTTATTATATAGCAAGATCGGTATTATTTAAACTAGAAGTTAAACGTTAATACATATCTAGTATATTTAAAATAATGTACATACAAAATTTCATAAAATAATACACGTGCTGTAAATAGTATTTTTACAGGTGTCGGAATTTTTTACATTTTACATACCGATGGAATCTCGGTAGCTCATTAATTTAATCATAGTTTAAGTACAAATATATATTTGATGTCACATATGTAAATTACATTACAATCAGCAAGCTGTAGGTTTAATACAACTAGGATCCATGTATGTAATATTTTCTGGAAAGTGATCCATAATGATAAACCTTTTTTCGCTAGGTTTTGTTAAGTTATCTAAGAATCCAAACCAGTAAATTACAAGTCCTGGCCCAAATCTATTCCAATAGCTTAAAAATTGTTCCTTAATATACTTTTGATGTATCTCTATATTTCCAAATCGTGCTTTAGATTCTATCCAATTAATTACAAAACCATTTACCGCGATTGGTACTTCAAGTTTAAAGTCGGGAGTTTTGTCGTAACCTCGTGATCGCAAATGTTCTTCATTACGAAACGAGAGATTTCGTTCCGTTAAAAAGTTTTGTAATTTTAACTCATACTCTTGACCTACAGAACTGGAAGTTTGATTTATGAGTATACATATAAAGCAATTTTGTTTGTTATTTAATATTATGAAACTTACATTCCAATAGCATCTGCTATAGGTCCATACAAATTGTCATATAATATACACTGAAAAAACATTGAATTATTTTAAAATTGTATAATGGTGTGTTTAATAATTAACAAGTTTTTATCTTATTACCAAATAAATTTCATATGCAAGATCTTTATCTTGAATGAGAGTAGTGTCCTTAAACAATTTACTGACTTCATTTCTAGAAACTAAGAACATATTACTTTTCAATATTTGGAAATAATTGTATTTTATAATAAATTGTTTTAAAATGTATGCAAATTACAATTAGGATCATCTTTTCCACAGTGCTTTTCAAGAATATTCCTAGCTAACAATGCAGGAGGTGCTCCAATGTCCTTTGCCATTTTTAATAAAATCCCAACTGGTTCACCACTCTGTACAGCTTCTACATAACTATTATTTGGATAGTATAGTGCAAGATACAGTGTAAAATATTTAAAAATGGATCTAACATGAAGTATCCTTACGTATCATAATAATTTTTGTTGTTGCCAAATAATTTGCTATGATTAACTTTCATCTTATGTTGTATTTCTAAAGACAGTATACTATACAGTGTGTTTACTGGAATCCTAGATAAAGACAGAGTATTTTATTGTGATCAATAGTTAAATATAATTGTCTTTTACAGAAACACACTTACTCGCTATATTTTTCCTTTAACATGTCTCTACAGTCCTTTGATAAACCTCGAAATTTTCGAATAGATGCTACAATATCGTTATATAATTCAACCTTCATATTTGAGTCTTATTCGTGTTTCCTTGAAATATTTCAACTTTATTTTATTATCGTATAAATATACTCGTCTTCACACGTTACGAATCCTGACATTTGTATACAGTATACAATTTCATTCATTCGTCTGAAGTTTACTTTTTATCCGATTTATGCGGGATATTTTAACTTATAGCTTTTTCTTTTTTATCTTCAGTTGAGTATGTTCACAAGGTATGCATGTAAATAGAGTGTAGGGTTTTGCCTGCACCCCATTCCACACTCCACACCGTGGGCAAAGAGGATACATATGTACATACATACCTTTGCCCTTTTATCGCCTAGGGCTGGCGTATTATAGGGACTTTTCCGCCCCTCTATTGCCCAACGAACACTTTCGGCCACGCGCGCTTCGCGTACCTTTTTCAAATCTCATTCTATACATTTGCCATACTTTTGCTTCTGTTCCCTCGCCGTACTTTTACAATCCTTGCTTGAGTCCGTGTGTGTGTGCCCCCTTTTAGTCGCCTCTTACGACAGGCAGGGGATACCGTGGCCGTATTCTAATTCCCCCGAGCCACAGAGGCCATGTATGTATATATGTATACCGCAGTTCACCAGAGTCCATAACTGTGAAAAGACCAGTTTTCGTTCTTTGCGCTTCTCCAGTACGCATCTTCGCCCTGATTGGCGATACTCCCAAACGAAGTGGAAAGCGATTAGCAGAGAGCTCGCTGCGTTCCCCCACCATCTTCCAACCTGCGCGTCGCAGTTATGGACTCTGGTGAACTGCGGTATATGTATGTATGTTACCTACCCTTTGCCGTGGGTTCGCCGAGAGGTTGGTATCCCTACAAGAGAGGCGACATCAGCACCTCCTGGTACTGAAGCGTAGACCTAAAATTTGCATCAAATTCACAAGAGTGAACTCAATGGAATTTGGTGGGCCTGGGCCTGGGTCAGTGAAGGTTGTTTATTGCTGTATATCTAAAATATAACAATCATAAATATTGTATATGCAACAATTTTTAAATCTGTATTGTTATGAGATGTACAACAGATTGGCATAAAACACGTAATTGTATGGAAACAATCTACATGACAGATGCCTTGTATTTAATTTTCAAATATCATTTATTGATGAATTAGTTTATACTTTAATCCTGTCAAAATTATGAATAAACGTGAAAAGTCAACAAAAAAGTATAGTGTACAGAAAGGAAAGAAAGAAACTGGTCGGTCAGAGGAAGGTAATTAACTTAATTTTTTATATAACTAAATAAGTAATAGAATTGTATTAAATTTTTGTTGATATATGTAAATTTTATATGTTACAGCTTCAATCAAAAAGAATATGAAAGTTGATGTAGGAAATGATTCACCTCAACATTCTTATGATACACGTGTTTCTGGACATAGTACACCAATTTTAAAAAAGGAATATGTATATGACATAGAAGATTCTCCTGAAATTGATTATCGTTACAGTCCAATTTCACTTCCTTGCACTCAAGATGGGGGTAATGAGATTTCTTGGGATTGGCAGACAACAAGTAGTAAAAATTCATACAGTAATAAACCACAAAGCAACCTCAATGAAACTCCCAAAAGAACTAAACAATTACAGAAAAAACGAAATTCTTTTTCTCCCTTATTGCAAAAACCACTTAAAAGGAAACAGATAAAGATGGAAAATATAGAAAATATTGGAAAACTAACAGCTGAATTGAAAGCATTATCAGAGAGAATGAAAGATATGCAACAAAACTGTAACAATCATGTCACTGAGAATAGAGATACTAGAGAATGTGAATCTGAAAATAAGCTATTGATAGGATTGGATACTGAAATTAATGATGATATAATGATACAAATTGTTGACAATCACAAATCTAATGTAGATACAATTGCTATTAATAATAATATCAAAAAAAGTTCAAGTTATGAGGATTTATTTGATGATTCAATTGATGATTCAATGGTGAGGTGCAGTCAAGAAATTGAAGAAAAATTAAATTTGTGTAAAAGTACAGAAAATGAGACTACGGTAGTAAATATAGTAAGTGACAAGAAAGAAAAAGAGTTTCACTTTTTAACATCTATCAATTCTACTGGAAGTTCCAGAAGTATTAATACTTCTAAAAATTCTTCAAGCGACACAAGCAGCCAACTAAAAACATATTCAAATAATTCAAGTAAAAACTCAGCTTCAAGTTTTTCAATTTCCAATTTAAAAAATACAAGTCTACAGAAAGGTTCCTCTAAAAATAATGTTATACATACAGCAAATAAAAAATTACAAGAGACAAAGATGTCAGATTTTCCGGATGATTCTTTTGATGATTGTTTAGCAACTTTCGTCGAAGATGACAAATTATTAACTAAATTGTCGGAGTATGATTTTAATGCTCCAAATTCAGGTCCAAACTCGAGTCATTCCAAAAAGAAAGGAACTGTTCCTTCAAGGAATAAACAATCTTCAAACAGTAATCTCTCAAAAGCAGTAGTAGATACTGTATATAATATCGAATCAAATTATACAGAATCTAAGTTGATTGCTGATGATCTGGTAGGGGAATTCGAATTTATAACTGATAAAGAAACAGTACAAAAATCTTTCCCCGGTAAAACTTCTCTAGAAAACAGGAAGTTCTTTAAAACAAAAAGCTTATCAGATCAGTGGTGTTATCAGAGTAGAAACTGTAATTTAAATAATAAGACAAATAAAACTTCAAATATTGTTGTACCAAGTCCAAAACAATATCAGTTGTATTCAAATTGTTCAGTAAGTACTACTTATTCTGTTACCACAAGTCAAAATTCTTACAAACCTAATACACTTGCATCAATTAACGGCACGGAAAATGCGCATGCACTTGACAGACTGGAAGGAAAAGAAGATGGAAATTGTATTGTTAAATACAAATCTACTAGCAATTTAAATAGCATAAAAGAAGTGAAAGAATCGTTGTCGGTACAATGCACCCCGGAAGAGATAGAACGAAAAAGGCGGGAAGCAAAGATGAGACTAGAGGCGAAACGAAAACTGCAGCAAAGTGGTCGAATGGCCAGTGCTACATCAGAAGTCCCGATAAAGAGATCTGTTAAAAGGTGATAGACTAACAGTGTTGAGTAAAATGAGTTAATGAAACTATATTTTACGATACCCTGTTGTTTTATTTACAAATACTAATGTGCCTATTCCTTGTATGTTTATGATTTCAACTACATATTGTGTCTAAGCAAATAGTTATATAAACAAAAGCTATTTTTCGATACAACTTTAAGCATTCTGTAAAATCATGTCAATAGCTTTCAAATAATTACTTATATTTATACTTTTCTATTTTATTATCGTTGAAAACATTACCATTATATTCTAGAATGTATAGTCATTCAATTGTAATAGCTGTTGAAATAATTATAAATACATGTTACATAAATTTCTATATATTTATTTGATTGTAACATGTCTAATTATCTGTCATTTAAATAATCTTAAGAAAATAAATATTTTTTAAATTTTTCTATAACAGTAGTTAATTAATTATGTATGTTTTTTGTCACAAATAGATATACGAAGTTAAGATTATGTTGGATATGTAGGAATTATTGTGCGAGTAGAGTACATAATAAAACATTTTTCGTTAAACATTTGTTATAAATTTTTTTTTCTCAATATAATTAAGTTCTTTTTCTTATTTTCTTATAAATATTTCGATAAAAATACGGACAACCGTGTAAATAAGTTATTATTAATTCTTACAAACAAGTGATATACTCTTGCCTGACCAATGTCGGGTTATACTACTTCCGCGGATCCGAAACGCGTATAAAAGTGCACGTAGTTAGCTATGTTTAAAACAACATTAAAAGAGCTTAAAATAATATAGATAACGATATAGAAGTAGTATATTTGTCGGAAGATAAGAAAGTTATGACGTGTCACATAAATATTAAGGTATAATTCACCGCGCATGGTTAGTAGAAGCGCGCCATTGCACGAGTACCATCGTTCAATCGATACACAACGTGACGTCAGACTGAACCGTACAACAGTGTGCCCGTATTGTCCATTAAACGAATTCGCGATCGGTAATTTATTTTATTTCTATCTACACACGAATTTACACGCATCTCGTAAATAAATATTTAAAACGTGCGCGAATCGGTTTCCGAATGTTTAACGATCGCGCACTAAACGCACACTGTCTCATCGCGCATGCGCAGTAATTCAAGAGCAAGTGCACCGCGCATACCTGTCGGTGATTGGTGAAAGGATATTGAGAGCAAACGGTCAAGCCAGTCGGCCTGAGGTGAGCATGGGGAAAGCACGTGTCGTTTGCATTGTTGCGCGCGATTCGGCAAGCTTATACGTCGACTCAAACGTCTCCTCCACCACCACCGACGCTTTCACCACCAGTGAGACGAAGGTAGCCGCTAACGCCATCACCAGCGTCGCCGTTACTACCACCGAGAACAATTCTTTGGCTTCCCCTTCTCTGCATCGGGTTGATAGCACGAAAATCGCGGTACCCTCGCTCACGTCGAGAACAGTGCCCGCGAATGCTAGATACACCAGCGTACACCGTCGGCCTATCGCTATGTTACTCGCGGTGATCGCGTTCCTCTGCGCCGGCACCAGTGCCGAGGTGTTCACGAACACTTTTCTCGTGAAGATGAGGCAACCTGCGGAGAGACACGTCGCTGATCGCGTGGCTATTAGAAATGGATTCGTCAATCTAGGACCGGTAAGAGCCTAACCACTATTCCTCTACTTTTTTAAAATTATAAATATTATTCTTTTTGTTTTCTTTTTTTTTAATAACATTAAGATTCTGATTTCATTAGGAACTGTTTTGATATAGCGATAGGCTGCATAGTACGAGATTCTAGCACTGACACATTATGTATACTCGAGTGTAGCGCGTACGCGGTTCGACCGCCTCGAGGAAATTGCTTATCTAGGGTGAAACAGAGTATGGCTTGGGGTGCGGATAGGGTGAACATACTATGATGAGAATGAAATCTCTCTTGTACGATCGATAAGTTTACTTCAAAAGAGAAGAAACAAGAAAATACCCAAGGGAAACTTGTTTATTTATCTACCGACGGTTAGGGCATAAATTTATTTACCTCCTTGTACTATCGGTCAGGTCCCGTGCTTAGATTTTAATTTGAAGCTTACTTTTTATATGATTATTCTAGCGGCCAATGATTTATAATATTTTATTTTTTGTTATAAATTCTGTATTTTACTATAGACCTATCCTAATAAACAAAGCACATTAAAAACTGAGACATTTATTAAAATTTTAAATCCCTTTAGACTAAGTATAGTATATCATGAAAAAAAAAAATAATCTGCGCCGGTCTCGTTTCATCCTTGCTCCACTTCACCGTTGATTTATATCACCGCGAAACTTGTTATCGGTTCGCCGCATGAACGACCTGTTATTCACCGTAGGCATGTACGATCACAGAGGCATTGATTTCGTGACCGTTGCCACGAACGCCCGCATTATCGCGAAAACATGTTCGAAACGGTTGGTCGACGTCATAAATACACAGAATACGTATTAACGATAAGATTAGCTTAGTCCGAAGGGAGCTCCGTTACTCAATAGAGAAAGTCTTCCTCTCCCTTCCTCTGGATGTTTAATTTCCAATAAAACATCAAATAAATCATTACAAATCATAATATACTTTACTAAAGGTTTATTCATTTCCATTTAATCGAAAAACAAGCGCGTTGGTTTGATTATCTGTTTGCATTACTGAATTACTCGGGCGCAGTGAAATGATCGGCGTGTGGTCAGACAGCGCAACAGTAGAAGCGACGCGGTTTGGTCCGACGCCTACACGTAAACTTTGCGTAGGCACCTTTTAGCGAAGCCAGCTCTCGTCCCTAGCTGTTTTTCTGCTAATATACGGTATCGTTTTACGGTTGACACTATATCAAACATTTTTGTCGAAAGTGCTTGTCTAAAATAAGTATACGATGACGTATAAAGGCGATTAAAGGTTCCACTTTCGAAGTTACTTAACGAAGTTACGTTCACAAACGCGGTAAACACTGGCATAATATCAATTATAAAACTATAAGTATACGTTTATCGGTACAAACTTTCGCATATTGCAAGAAACAACGCGCTTTATATTGAACTTTTCTCATTTAATTCTCATTAATTCGGTAAATCAATGCATACCCTTTAAACTGCTTCTTTCTCGTTTCCCTCTGTTCGTTTCTGGGAAAACAAATTTCATTAACCTTCGTTACGCAATTCTCTGATATCCTGTTGATCAAAGGAACATATATATATTCGCGTTAAATTAACGAGAATACATTTGTTGTGAATACATGGAGAGCTTGATTAATAAAATGAAACAATTTGATATTTATTAATGATCAAATTAAACAACAGAGACGAGGAGTGGGTCTTTTATTTCTGTCGTCTCGCGATAATTGAAACGCTCTTCGGGATTCCATTAAAAGGAGACAAAAGCACGTCTAAGATGGCGAGGATAGCTTCTGAAATTTTCCTCCTTTTTTACTACGAAATGTTTCTCGAGGGCGCAGGTTCGAACGGAAGTGTTCAACAAGGGAGCATCTTGCTAGATAAATTAAGTTAGTCGTTGCCCATCGCGACGTTGGGGGTCGTTTCCTTTTATTAGTATCACTAGACGAATGTTATTGCCTTCTTCTCTTCTGCTCCGCGATTCTCTTGGTTGCTTCCATTCAGAATTGTACTTTCATTTAATTGTTCGCTTAAATTAAATTCGCCGCCATGGTCATCGGTTACAGTCATCTTTTCACCCTATACTTAGCTTGCTAATTTGTACGTCATTTACCATTCTGTAACGTTACAACCTTTTCCCTCTGCGACCGTTTATCTTCGGTCCATTGTTAGATTCCCTTCCCACGTAATAGGATACATGTTCTAATAATAACAACAATCAAATCCATTAGACGGATTCATTAAGAATCGTCTGTTCTAGGAATAGACAGCGAGATAAATGCGTCGCTGTGATTTTCTTCTCGAAAGAAAATCGCAGACCCCCAAGAAAGTGATTCCTAACGATTTTCAAAAGTCGATGGAATAGAAATTCGTTTCGAATCGGAGGAACGAGGGTTGTAAAGTCAATTGGTCGGAAGAACGAGAATATGAAAGGGGGAAGGATATTATAGAGCGACTTTTCTCCGTTGTTTGACGCTTGGAAATTATGCGCCAGATGTAATTTATCGTGTGGATCGATTTTCTTCTTCAAACTGGTATTTACAATGCTACGTGACGTTGCTCCATTTGATTGCCGTTTGACACGATTAATCGTCGCGTGACGTGCGCGTTGGATTATCACCGGTGATCGATCGCCTTCACTGAGGACCGATTAAAGAATCGTCATCTTTGGTGACGGGGGATTTTCGTCCACGAGAACTGGGACTAAAAAGCTTTAGAATATTTTTAATAATGAATACCTTAAACTGAACAGTGAGGTATGGTACAACGAAGGAATGTTAATTTTAAACTGACCATCGTATGTCCATTGTATTTTAGCAAGTGTGAACCATTGTTACCACGAATCGTAAAATGATCTGTCCGGGAATAATGAAAAGATTAACGGAAAGAAGCCGAGCGAAATCGAATCATGTTTAAATAGGTCGATCGATCGGAATGTTGCGGTTACGCTGGTAACCACCTTTTGATTCTGCGACAGAAAGGTGAACATTCTATGTTCTGGTACATCTCTTTATTGAAAAAAAGAGAATGAGAGATTAAAAAGTTTCATGGTTCGATATAATCTACTAACCGGGAGAGTCTTCTTTACATTTACGTAAACAGGTTCTAGAACAGGAGGAGGAACTTCCGTTGCATCGCACCAGGGAACTAATTATTCCTCTTTATTAAGAGGCAGGGTTTGTTAACACACTTCGGGATGACTAAGCGCGCCTTTATTAATGGCCTAACGCTTTGAACGTGGCTATGGATGAAGCTCATAACTTCACTGGTTGTAGTAATAAAATATTATCTCTGAGTATGTTGGAAATATAAAATAGTGTGGCATAATGAATGAATGTTGTTTATTAGACTTAATAATAAAAGATGGTATTGAATAAGATACAAAATTAAGAAGATAGCTCGCAGGCTAAACGTTCTTCACTCTTCGAAAGTTAACTCTAGTCTGATCCATCCCTCAAAGGCACTCGCATTCATTGTGAATAGGGCCCAAGGCCTCGCCCGAAAAAACACTCGCCGACCCTTGGGCCTGGTTTTCGTCATCGCTTTTCTCTTTAATGGCTCTCTTCCTGCTTTTAGAAATGTAAACTACCCTAAATTCTAAACTACGTTACCACAATAGTAAGAAGAATGATTCTTTTATGCAGAAGAATTTTAATAAATTTACACACTATGTTTCTAAACGTTTCTAAGTTTATCTACTATGCAGAGTTCTCTGAATATCATTGCTATAACTTCTCATGCAAGTGGAATGACGACAGCTGGCTCAGAAAGGAAGATCGTGTACAGTTAACTGCACTCAGTTATGCAACTACCAGCGTTCCGATGGGCACGTTTCGAATATTTCCGAGTATCTGAACTGAAATTACGTAATCTGATCGTTCTTCTATCCTCGTACCTTTCAAAGGAACACTTTTATGGTGTCTCTATTGAACCGAAGAACAATGTAAAGTTGTTTCGCAATTCCAAAGGGATGGAAGAAAGAGAAGTATCGATGAAGATATTTCAGTATTCTCAATTAAACTTGTTTCCCTTTGCCTTGAAGGTACACTGATCATTTATATAATGTACTAATATTCAAGAAAATAATTAAATGTTATAGTATTCCAGGTATATTCTTCTTTCATTTTCAAACTAAAATAACAATTTGATATAAATTTTTCCAGCCATTTTCAATGGAAAATTAAACATTTCTCACCGAGTTTACCATCTTCTATCGCAACACGTTGTATATAAAGAGTATCCCAGTAAAATTACTTTTCCAACCATTGTCCATAATTGGATTATGCTGGACGAAGTTTGCAACCTTCGACTTTTCTACTTGCAGCCTGTACTTTGCTAGCAATATTTCACACTGTCGAGATGTAAAACGCTTCTTGTTCCCCGATAAACTGAGAAAAATTGAATTCTCTTGCTTGCACGTTGACCACGTATACAGACGAGTTAGTCGATGTTTCGAATACATTGGTGGCTCAATAAATTCTATTTGCATACACATTTGCAACAGCTGAACATAAGGCAAAGTACAATAAACCGGGCTACGTTCGCGTTTATCTGCTGGACACAGGTTGTTATACCGTGTCCACTGTTACGCACTTGGTGCATGCTTGTTAATTGGATTACACGACACGTGTAGCCCGGGATAAACTCGATTAAGGAACGTATAGTTTGACGGATTGAAGTTTGCTTTCACCGACAATGGAGTCGAGAGAAACAAAATGCGAAAGGATTACATTAATAATTCCACCTTGTTCAAACGTTACGGTAACTAATTAATCCTTAACACGTTAAAACCCCTCGAGTCATCGACGTTTATGAATTCAATGTAGATAATCACTTTGACTTTAAGATTCCGTAAACTTTTCATATCGAAAGGTTGTATAAATAAATAATTATCAAAGGTGCAGGTTTCATCATTGATTTTACCCAAGTAGCATAGATATTGCTACTCCATCATGGTTCGTAGCGAGTTCTAAGTGTGCCCTGTTGGTGTGTAACGATGGTAAAGTAACCATGACGTGATATACGCGTGGAAACTCAATACCAAAGGACGAGAATAGCATGATAAGGTACTGTCGACCTCAAGTTTCTTTATATCACGGCTGGCCTGTCTCTTTTCCACTGAACAGACTGTCAAACCGTATTGATATATCTATCAAACACTCAACGTGTCGCATTCAATTTGATTCGGAAGGAAAAACATTCCGCTCCTGTTTCTCATTCGATGAACGACAATGCTGGAACATTTTCAAAAGTTTCATTTAATGTTCATGGAACTTGAAGATGAAATAAAAATTCCAGGATTGTCAGACCTTTTAAAAAATAAACTGCGTATCTGTTATACATTCTCGTTATACATACAGTCTTACAAATTGATCATTATTATAGCGGCGAAGGTGTTAACGATGCTCGTTTCGAACGTTATTCACCTAAGGAAATGAAATTACACGGTTGCGAAAGAGCAGAGTAGAAGCAGGATTTACGTTTATGATCCTTCCTTCTCGTAGTACGTTTCTCATCGATCTTGGCGAGAAAAAGGAGCCTGATGGAATAATCGAACAGAGGGATATCTCCGGTGTCGTTAAGGTTTCGCTTTCAGGAAATTCTATCAACGCGCCGGCGGATAAACAGCGTGGCTGATTTCCTGAATTTATCAGAAGGAAATTTGCAACACTCGCACGTTTTTTTATTATAAATGCAATGACAGCATGGCACACGTCGACATAGTGGTAGGATTTCAATAAACTAACGAGATTTCTTGCGACGCGGTCAAGTGCACTGGGTCGGACGTCAATATCGTGCACGTGTTCTACTGAATTTCTTGCGTTTTTCTTCGCGAAAGTTCTTCAACACTCGGCAACTTTGACACGATGTTTGCTCTCGTACAAGAAACACGAGTTGGAACTATTGGAAAAATAATCAGGTCCCGTGGAAACCTGACGGAGAAGTGTTTTTATCCGACATCGAAAGAAGATTAGAATCTTGCGCTGTTCAATCTTCGTACAGTCGAGGATGTTTCAAGGGGTGGACGACGAGTTTGAATTAAAATGTAACAAATGTTTATAGAAGTTTTATCTCGTCGAGTCTGAGTTCAGATAATGATTATTCCACGACTTCTGAAGACGATAATGTGATTACCCGATGAATCGTCGCGCTGTACAATAAGGGGGTTGTTTTTATTGCGATTTCTTTCTTAAACAGCGCAAATGTTTAAATACACTCGTTAAAATCCCTCGTGAAAAGTTATTCAGAAGCTTTAAACTTAACCCTCAGTAGTCGCATTATGGATATTTTAGATAGATAGCTTAGAAATAAAAATGATGACACACGATATCTGTAAATAATAATTTCTCTCTTTGTTAATATTTAAACCATCATCAGATAAATTCAAGTAATTGATCAATGTAGGTGATAGGGGTAAATACCTCGTACAGATGTGTATTTAATCCACTGTCAGTTTGATCGATTTTCTCTCGGAAGGCAAATTTATTAATCGTATAACACCCTGTACGAGTTTATCTATTTGCAATTGGTTCGATTGGAACGACGAACCGATGTCCCTGATCCATCGCATTTATCTACCCACTGGACATCTGGAAAAAAAAGGAAAAATACTTTAATACTTTTTATTTGATGTTTGATCGAGAAGGTATTTAAAATTTCTTTGAAGGAAACTGGGAGGATTAAGCTCCTTCGAATCCTTCCTGTAAGATGATTGAAAGGAAATAACAAGTTTGTTAACAGTCTTACAATTAGACTTCTCCAACTGTAGTTCCTAGTTTCCTATTTTACTGGAATTCGAAAATATCATTTTTCTTATATTTGCAATGTTGGAATGGAATTTCCATACCTAACAATGAGATAACATTTTTTATTTTTTGTTTAGGTATTGGACAGTCAAACGGAATACCATTTCGTACACAGGGCTCTACCTCATGCGCGAAGCAAAAGATCCGTGCCGCATATGAGGAAATTGAAAGTAGATCCCTTGGTAAGTGATCCTTTTCAATTCCATCGACTTCCATCCACGAAACAGTACAATTTCGTTCTTTATTCTATTTTCACCGTGAAATCAATTGAAATCTTTCAATTTCGTTCCACTTTCGTGTATCGTTGATCGATCCCAACAATTTTCTCATCGTCACGTTATTCCATTTGCTATTCTAAATAGTTCCATAACAGGGGAATAAAATTTTATTCGTTTTTAAAGACATCCTTAAAAGAAAGAAAGGTTTCAATTGCGAAAGAATCGTAGGTGGATCCGTGAAACTCGATTTAAAAGCTCGCTAGCAAAAGGTAGTCGATATAAATGTAAATGAAATCTCAATTTCCAACGGAGCAAAGGATATATAATCGGACCAAGGACAAATTGCTCGCATAAAATTACGATCTTTTGATAGTATCGTTCGTTCACAACTATATAGAAGTGTCGTCGATTCTTATTGAAGATTCGCTCGTTGACCTTTTTTATCCACAGACCTGTCATAAATTTTCATCGCCGCGACTCGTTTTTCCATCGTTCTTTTCTATCGATTCCAGGCTGAAATGCTTTAACCAAACATTCATTACTTTTCCATCGTTTGTGGGAGTCGATAGAATGGATGAAGTTCACAGTATCGGATGAAACCCGACCGGGTTTTGTTTCTTCTTCTGTTTTAACACTAGATTGCCGGACAAATAGATCCGTCAAAATAGATATAGCACATTTCATAATTCTATTAGAAACCAACATATATTTAAAAAAAAATCATTTAAGTTTTTCTATATGTAGAGCAATAAAATCGTAAATGAGTCAAATTGACTCGCTCTAGCAATCTAGTGTTAACATGTTCATCACCGATGTTGCAAATACACGGTGATAAAAATGTTAGAAACAAATTTAAAATAAGATAATTTAAAAAATTGGAAAATTCTACAGATTGTGGAAATCTAATTTGAAGAAATAGCTCATCGTCCGCTCTAAATATATTTTAATTAAGACTCAAAGAATTAATTCCATTCCTCGGTTGTTCGACGAAGCTTGGAAAAGGCAAATTAGCCGGCAGTTGGTTCGCGAAAGGGGATGAAACTAGCGTGTTAATGTAAAATATTGAGGCAGGAGGGTTCGTTTAAATGTTTTAGGTGCACACCGCGGTGCAACAGCCTGGATTCAAGAGGGTGAAGAGAGGCTACAAGCCGCTGAGCGTGGATAATCTTGTGCCCCTTTACCAAATTAAAAATCCAGCGAATCCGGCCAACAGAGACCCGTCAGACCCGTACTTCCAGTATCAGTGGTACCTGAAGAACACCGGTCAAAATGGCGGGAAACCGAAGTTGGATCTGAACGTGAAAGCAGCTTGGGCTCAAGGTGTTACCGGGAAAAATGTGACCACGGCTATAATGGACGATGGTAAGAGGATTTAATTATTATTTTTTCGTATTTTATTAACGTTTTTAGGTCAAAGTACTTTGAAAAATTCGAAGGATAAGCGTTGGTTTAGTATAAATTGCAAAATTTTAAGAACTTTAAATGCGTTCAAGAGGATAGAAATGCAAATCTGTTAATTGCATTGCGTAAGGTGTTATCCTCTAAGCGGTCGTTTAAAAAGCTTAAAACATCTTAGAGGTTACATCGTTAATGGGTCGTTTGGTGGATTTAATGGTAGCAATTTTGCTGCCGGCTTCTCGAGATCTCATTAACAGAAAGCGTTTTAGCTTAGATTACGCGGCACATGAACGTAGTTAGCTAACATTCCTGAGGTTAGCTGCATTAATTGTACGCCACGGCAGCCTGATAATCAATTAAGGATATTGCTGCCACGTAATTTCATTAATTACCCTTACTTTCCTTAATACTTTAACGTACCGTCGTTAACTTCAATTTCACACCTCTATGAACATCATGCAATATTTTCTAGATAATTTTAATGAAATAAAATATATTTCAAGTAATCTAAAGTACACTGTTAGTATAAATTTTGATGTGATTCGTATTTGTCGGTCTTCGAATTGTTTTTATCACCAAGTATCTCAATGCAATTCTCCGGTGTAATGAAATTCAACGCGAAATCCATCTATGGGTCTGACGATACAGGGAAGTCGATTAAATCGTGTATACTGAATTCCGTAATTCAGAGGCACGAACGAGTTTCAGGGAATGCCGATAATCAACAATCTAGCGGATCAAACGGCGACGTGATCGGTTCAGCTTCGGGGAGATTTATCAACGATTCGATTTTCATTGAGGCTTAAAGCTGATATTCCTTCAAACATTACTTGAATTTCACGATAAACTACGTCCAATTTATTTGTTAATTGTGACCGCGTTAATAAATGATCATCTTATCCTTAATGAAGGTATACGCAGAGAGAGTTGTTCTTTGATTTTGAATTATTTATATCGAGAACATTAATCATAATTGTATTTGATGTATTCTTGAATTCTCTGTTTATTTATTCATCTGAAATCGATACAGAAGAATTGCAAGAATTTTCAATGGAAATTAAAGGAATTGTACTCATTTGAAATCTACTGTCTGATCATTTTCATGTATTACTACTTAAATCTTTCAGTGCTAAATACTCTCAGTATCTCTAAATACTCTTTTAATCGTCTTGAATGGCAGCGAAAATGACGACAAATAACTTTAATAAGTAGAATTATAATCAATTCAAGAAACTTGGTAACTGAGATTCCAGACTGAGAAAAGCCAGAGTATTAAGTACTTTGAGAGGGTCTTGAAAGCTTATGTTTTCGAATAAAATTTTATACAATTATACTAAGCTTTAGTAATTAATTTTCTTTCCAATTCAAGAATTTCAAATCATAAATCAAATATCATAATTATTAAATGTACTCTACCACAATGGAAACGTAATTTTTCGGGACACTGTGTTGCGAACACGAATCGATAATTCCTGGGGGTGGGGTGCGTAACCACGGCTCGTTTCTGACCATTTATTAAAGCCTGGAGACCCGATACTATCTCCTAAATTGTAGGGAATGTACAGACATACAGCTTGTTAAGAATTTTAGCCTTCTGCGGTTTACCATCGTGTTATCGTTGGGAAACATCCATATTAATACTTTAAATACGATTTGATTGCCATTTTATTTTATCTCGTATTTTTACCTTATATTTGATAACGTGTGTACTGAAGATTTTAATAAATCTGTTCTACTTGAAAACCTTCTTTTTATTTGTTTCAGGTGTTGATTATATGCATCCGGATTTAAAATATAATTACGTAAGTACTTTCGTTATTACAATTGTAATTTCCATTTTATTTCATTTATAAATTTACCTTTCGATAAATATCAAGAACTTCGTGCCTGAGAGTTAATTTTCTGTTTTCGATGCTGAAATAGTTTTCACAAGGTTCATTAGCATAGCCACTGAACGCTTATTGAAATTCAAATCGAGTCATGAACACGACCTTCTCATGGTAAATGGACGGCGATGAGGTTTCACGACGAGACGCTTTCATTTTCTTTCTCTGAAACTTCATTGTTGATGTCCTTCTCGGTATTCACTCGAATAACGCGACTCTGTGTCGTCTACGTTAACGTGTTGACTCTTCCGAGGGTCATACATGGTAATTTATTCAAATAATTTATCGTCCACTATAGCGATCGTTCGTTTGTAGCGACTCAGTGTTAATCAACGCAAAGTGAAAGAAGCCAACGTTTTTCAGTCAGCAAATTAAACGATACTTGGTGAAAAACCACGAGCAAAAGAACAGTTTTAATAACTTTCGAAACCCTCGGAAAGTAATTACTCGTTCAGCATTTTTTATCGTTGTAACTTTCTCGTTAATTGGAAAAGTTATCTTATTTATGCATAACTTTAGCATCTTACGAAAAACCAGCTTGATCTATAAAAAAGAGCTACTGGATTTGAATCACGTAGCCTAAGCGATCTTCACCATCCATTCTATGAAAAAAGGAATGTTATTAAACATGCTTCAATGTAGAATCTCGAACGTGTACTGAATAATGTAAGAGAAAATTCGAAAAATTTTCGGCTTTTCAGAGGAGTGAAATGATAATGCTTTCAAATTCTCATTCTTCTCGTAACGAGAGTAGGTGCTCGACTTTCCTTAATACAGTTTCTCTTAAATAAATATTACACTGAAACATTCTGCGAATGTGCCGTGCAATATTCGCGGATAAATAAAGGGGAGCGTGATAATATGAGAGGGAAGTTTTCTCGGAATTTTCTTGCTTAAGTAGACAGACAACACAACCCACGTCACGTGTTGAAGATACTTCATGAATGAAAAAAACTTGAGTTCCGGTTAGAGAACATAAATGATTTTCGTGGACATAATTCTACGATGATTAATTATAGTCTTCCCGTTGTCATTCCCACGGGAAAGAAATTTGAATTCAGCGAAGCTTGTTCAATCGTTCTACGTGAGTGAAATACGTCCAAGTATAAATCGTGGAATTTTTATCGGTGACGTGGTTATCAGAAAGGTAGAAAACAAGGTGATGTGGTCACGTGAGGCGAGATAAAAAAAAAGAGAAGTAGAAAAAGAAACGAGGGTGGGCATGAAAGGGTAGTTTCCTTCGAGAAGACGAAGATTAATGGTCGAGAAACGTTGCCTATGAGCAGGAAAAATTTATGATAGGTAAATCCAACGGATAAATGATTTTTATGGCGTGTAAACTGTGTCGACTTTGTTCAATTAATTAACGACGTCTTTGTGGGTGAAAATCAATGCCCGCTACTCAAAGGAATAATTCAAATAGGAAAAAAGAGAGCCAGGAGTCTCATAGGAAATTACCATAAAGGGGCTGCTTGCAGAATTCATTCAACTTTCTACCCGTTCAGAAAGCTCCAGGGTATCTTCAATTTAATGCTCCACTGCTTTTGCTAGAGATTCAGTTAAATAATTAAAAAATGAGGGAGAAAAGAAATTCTGAATATCACTGAAGCTACTACATTAATAAGCGTGTCTGACTATATGTGGTTATTACTACTGCGACGGTCACACATGGGTCGCATTAAGCGTTGATATTTCTACTGCGGCAGTCAACGTGGATCATTCTTCGTCTTATTGTTTTATTTGTTTCAGAATGCCAAGGCTTCTTACGACTTCAGCAGTAACGACCCTTACCCTTATCCAAGATACACTGATGACTGGTTTAACAGGTGAGTGATGAATATAAATATTTTCTCAGACTTCAAGGAATTTATCGTTTATTAAATGTAATAAAATTAAAAACAACCCAGTCTTAACAAGATCGCGTAACTATTAATTATCGTGCAGCAGTTAGTATCAATAATGAACCAAGAGTTGTTAAGAAAAGAAAATTGTTTCCAGTTTCCAGTTTCTCTTTCGTAACTGAGGTTGACACAATTCAGACGGAAAAAGTCAAGGAAAAATGAAGGAGTGAATAAACGTAATTTGTTTTTTTTGTCGGATAATAAGAAATCGATGGTTTGATTAGACGAACGAGCGAAATTTCTGGGAATAATTCGATCTGGAGCTTGGAATAGAAATCTTCTATTGTGACTAACGAAACAAGCTGCTTCTCTTTTATCAGGTTTTGATTCAAGTCCACGAAGAATTACGTGAAAATAATTCTAGAATCGATTCACCTTGGTCTCTTTCGTAAAAACTTTCTTCTTATTTTTCTTTGACAACTTACGTAAGCCAATTCCCACCAGTTCTTGCTACTGACAAACGTTTCCATTGAATGGTCACCGAGAAATTCTTTTGATTGTGTTCGTTTCCAAGCTTAGAAAATATGTCTTCTTTTATACGGAGAGGGAAAAGAACCCTCGTAATCAGTTTCTCTTTTTTTCCCCCTTTGCACGAGACATCTTCGTCGAGACAAAAGCGAATTTTCAGATTTCTCTGACAGCTGTTCTTTCCAAAGAAACGCCAATATTCTTGTCGTATTCTTAGATCGAAAGAAATCGGAGACAGTTGTCAGAGGAGTTCGACAACATAGTTTATCGAGTTATAGTCTTGTAATTCGATGCTTCGATTAATCAAAGAGAACACGAATTTCTGTGGGAAATAAATTTAAAGGTGATCAAAAGAAATTTACGTCATCCCTCCTGAAATGAAACACACCTTCGCTTATTGTGGACAGTTACCCTCTCAAAGGGTTAAAGGTCAATCCCTGACATCTCGTTCACGTTTATCCTGGAGGATGAAGAAACTTATTAAAGACATTCAACCGCAATCGTTTCAGTTTCAACAATGACACGTCCGTGACCGAGTCGTTCAGACTGTTTTTACGACTTTCGTTTCTCGATTTTATCGGTTCAATCAGAATGCGAGTAATAAATAGCAAAGTACGGTAAAAGCTGAATGAATCTAGTGACTGTAATAAAAGAAGAGAAAGTGGAATCTATTAAATTACACTTGAAATAGTGTTTGTTATTTTAGTCGAATTTTCAAAGGAACGCTCTTTCGATTTCACTTAATTTTGAATAAAACAAAGTTCTCTTTCATCGGCTTCTCTTCGGCAAGGTTGCTCATCGAGCACTTCTAGGGAATGTAACATCAACACTTTTAGCAGGTCTATCAAGTTAAGTCTCAAAATATCAAATCAATCTGGCTAGGTACACCGTTCAGTCGCTGTGTATACTCGATGTAAAAGCCTGTAATCCTACGGGCAAACATTTTCCTAGTCGCTGCTGATATCGAACGATATCTAATTAAGCTTGTTTCCTATTGAACAGCCACGGCACCAGATGTGCCGGCGAGGTAGCCGCGGCACGAGACAACGGGGTGTGCGGTGTGGGTGTCGCTTACGATTCGAAAGTCGCCGGGATTCGAATGTTGGATCAGCCTTACATGACCGATCTGATCGAAGCTAACAGCATGGGACACGAACCTGACCTCATAGACATTTATAGCGCCTCATGGGGACCGACGGACGACGGGAAGACGGTGGACGGGCCTCGAAACGCGACGATGAGGGCCATCGTGCGAGGAGTTAACGAGGTGTGTATTAGTGTCAAGTTTTTTTCTCTTATATCAAACCAGAGGGGATCCTTTTACTCGTCCTTCGTTTCTTCGTCAAGAAATTAATCGTGTTACCTTGAACTAACCTGGGGAGTTCCAACGATAATGAACATCTTTGTATTTTGGGAAAGTGAAGCGAAACGTAATTAACGAAAATGGTGTAAGCGAATAATAATTAAAAGAACTTGAAATACATTTATATTTCAAGCGTTTTCTTTTTTTGCAAAAAAATATTGCCTGCTAGAAATCAAATTATACCACACGATGGAGCACACGTTCTACTCAAAGGAGTGTAGAATTGAATTTATGAAGCACATAACACGTGCCACAGGTCGCGGGGCAAAAAGTGCATTAAATGCATTCTAGTGGTAATCCGATTATTCTGCAGAAAAGGTGAACGCGTTCGAGTTTTCAAGATATTTACGAGCACCACCGAGAAGCAACCAATAATTGCATCGAATCCAATCAGTGCACCCTTCGTTTCAAATGAAAACGTCGATAATTTATCATAGCAGATGGTCGTGGTTTAGTATACCTAATTGTTGGTATAATTGGATCGATGTGCGGGTAAAAGCTTTATATACAAATAATTTTTCTCTTAGGCAATGTACAGATTAATCAATAAATTTCGGAGTGAGTGGATTTGATTGTGAGTGTGCTAAGTTATGATTGTTCTCTTTGTGGTTCGTCGATAATTAATTAGGTAATTAATTAATTTCGAAACTCGTACGTTCTCAATTTCAAAACGAGGCATTCAATATAAATTAATTTTCAGAATAAAGAGCTCATATGTACACCCTTTAAAAATAGACGATTTAAATTATAATAAAAAAAAAAAATTATGTCATTTTCACAAAGAACCTTCGAAAATGAAAATGAACAGATTCTAATTAAATTGAAATTCTTCAAATTCCTAAGAGTTATTATGTAATATAGGGAGCATGATATAATATGAACTTTAGATTTAGCTTGCAAACTCGTAACGATCTCTCCACTGAACACGGAAGGGTAGTCGATAATTATTAGAATCTGCAATATTCCAACGTCTAAGAAACACTGTCTCCTGTATATCGGAATCACCCTTAACAACACATCGTTACGTACACGAGTTATGACAGGTCGTTACGTGCTGCACCAGTGGGCAAACGACGTCGAAAATCCTTTGGGGATGGGTATTGGATTCCATGAAAATTGTGCCAAAGGTGTCCAGTTAGATATTCGGTCAACCGTAAACCTGTACACCTCACGATGACCTTAATAGTCTCCTTACAGTTGATAATTATAATTTTCAATATTTCTATTGGTATCATTTTTCGAAGTGGCGTTTTTGTTATTCATAGGGGAGAAGAGGGTTGGGGAATATTTATGTATGGGCATCCGGGGACGGTGGAGAAGAAGACGATTGCAATTGCGATGGTTATGCAGCTAGTATGTGGACTGTCAGCATTAATAGTGCTATTAACGACGGACAAAATGCTCATTACGACGAGAGCTGTTCGAGCACCCTAGCCTCGACTTTCAGCAATGGGGCTAAGGATCCAAATATAGGGGTGGTAAGTAGCAATTCTTTTTATTCTGTTGTCACAATTACAATTAACTTTATTAGAAATCTAAGCATTCAATGATCTTCGAAATTTGCTCAAAACTTGACACTATAGAGCAGCTCAACATTTTCAAGTATTTCGAACACGCAGAGTGAAGGATCAAGGTATGGGGCAGGAATAGATTAACCCCATAAACACGAGACAGGAATTTCGTCGCATCGCAAGAATGTCTGATTCGATTGAAACCACCGTGAAATTCCAGTGAAATTCTCGTCGAGTTTCAACGCGTGTTCCATTCTATTTTTCCCCCGAGATCAAATATCTCAACAATCTCTTATAAAAATGAAACATGTTTCAAATTAACAAGTAGCCAAATGAAAAAAAAAGAGAATTCTTTTCAATATAACTTATTAAACTGTGTACGTTAACTGCACAGTTACCTCGCATCGTTTAAAATCCTTCTACCAGTAGGAAACACGATCCTGAATGGATTTTACCTCCCTCTTTCATTTTCATGGCTGTTTTTGTGCTCGATAGCCGGGATTTTATGGATGAACACGGATCGCCTGGGTTTCTAGTGTTCTCTTTGTTTCACGAAAATTTCATGCTCGAACGAGCGGGAATATAAAGAGGAAAGATGGGGTGAATGCGAGTATTCCTGGCGCAGATTACACGTACCAGCTTTTTAAATAAGATTTATTTACCCTCTGACTGTCCACGCGTGAAGCGAATGAAAAGAATTCTACCTCTGATATTCTTCAAATTCTTATACATTTTATATCACGTAAAAACGCAGCGAAATATCATCAATCATTTTGTGAATTTTTCGAAAAATCCGTATTATGCTCGTAAAGAAGACTGCAATTTCTCGAAGTACCTAATCGCCCAGGGTGGTACTTACGCCTCTGTCGTAAAAACTCGATTGCACCGGTGTTTATCGCGATTTTATCGCAGTCTCTGGCAATCGAACGTAAACTTTTAATACTGAAACTTTCTCGATATCCGTGGGACACGCGTGGATGCGCTGCCAAGGAAATTATAACGTTCCAAGAGTTTAATCGCCTTTGGGAGTTGCTTTCAATCGTAGACACACCAGGAAACCATTTCGCATTCAATTATTTCAAACGATTCGTAAATATTTAATCCCTTATAATTGTTCGTAAAATACGCTAGAGTCGTTTCTATAATGAATCTCAATTAAAACGTTCCGTACAATCGTTAAAATGCAAATGACGTAGATTCTCGTAATGAGCTGCGCTAGATAACCCGTTCGAGTAAATTCTAATTTCAGCTGAGAAACGTGCTCGTTTGCAATTATGCGTTCACATTGTCTTTTCCTCTTTCCTCGCAGGCTACCACTGATCTCTACGGTGAATGCACCACTACTCATAGCGGAACATCGGCTGCAGCACCGGAAGCCGCTGGAGTCTTTGCCCTTGCTCTCGAAGCTAAGTGAGTACGCTACAAAATTCTTTTCATTTCATATTCCCTTTGAATTTGTAACAAAATTTCTTCGTGAAACTATGCCTTAAAAATTCACAAAATTCCCGGTTATTCGGGAATTAAAGGTATCCGAGTTTCCATATGGCGCAATCGATGGATCGCGAAAAATATCGAGTTAATAAAGTTAAAATCCCTTTCATCCTCAATTTCAGACAAGTTTCTTTTTTTTTTTTCATTCCACTGCACTTTTCTCCCTTTGAGCCTTCAGTTAAAATCTGACAAGCCAGTGTATCGGGTCCATTGTTATTTCACATGGAAAATCATGATTTTCCAACAACGTCAAATGCATTGTTCAGCTTTCGTGGGCGCGCAAAATGTGAAAGGAAAATTGTATTAATTAAGTCTGTTACGCAAACATTTCTGTACTTCTGGATGGACAGTTTAATGGGGCTGACATAACGTTTCTCTTTGAATAAAATAAATTGTTAACTAGGGCAGAGCGATGAAAATAAAAAAATCTTTACGTTGGATTATTTCAGTCCGCAGTTGACCTGGCGAGACATTCAGCATCTGACGGTGTTAACGTCAAAGAGAAATTCTTTGTTCGACGCTAAAGGGAGATTCCATTGGACGATGAACGGTGTCGGTTTGGAATTTAACCACCTCTTCGGTTACGGTGTGCTGGATGCTGGTGCGATGGTTGCCTTGGCGAAGAAATGGAAAACTGTACCGCCACGGTATCACTGTGAAGCTGGTTCCGTGTTTGAAACTCAGTGAGTGTTTTTCAGATATTAAGGTCACTCTGAAAGTTCTGAAAATCAGGAAAATTTATAGCGCGATCCTTGTTCCTTCATCATTTATTATCGTCTCTTTAACTGGCTTATCCTTTTCTATTTCCTCTCTGAGAAATATAAAAGCATACAAAGCATGCTACACGTCCAGCAGATTATTATTCGTGGATGACCAGGGTATTGATCTCGGCTGCCCTCCTGTCGCGCTTTTCCTCGTGTTACACACTAGTCTTGCCTTTTCCCGACACAGAAAAATCACCGGCTGTGTGATCCGACAAGCATTTCCCCCAGAGACTTGGTCTTTTCAGAAGGTCGACGGTGTGTCCAGAAATGTGTATCAATTTCCTTTTTAGAGAAGTGACGAGCGACCGATCGATCCTGTTGAAAATAAAGACTGATGCCTGCGCTGGCACCGAGTACGCTGTGAACTATTTGGAACACGTGCAGGCTGTTATTTCCGTGAATGCTTCTCGTCGCGGTGACCTGGAGCTGTTCTTAACTTCTCCCATGGGTACCAGGTACTTTTCTAATTATTATTCTGATTGGTACACTGTTATTAATGTTGATTAAAATCACACTAGTAATTGGAACTATTGGATAACAGAGCTTATGGGAGTTTCGTAATGAAAGATCTATTTTTAGATCAATGATTCTGAGTCGAAGGACAAAGGACGACGATCATAGAGATGGTTTCACAAAATGGCCTTTTATGACCACCCACACCTGGGGAGAATATCCTCAGGGGACATGGCTATTAGAGGTAAATGGAGGAAGACGATATTATCGATGATCCATGGGGTTATTGAAATTATAGTTGAAATAATTTTGATATTCATTTATTAAATTATGCCCAGGTGAGCTTCAATACTCAAACTCCCCAGACAGGATGGATCAGGGAGTGGACTCTGATGTTGCATGGCACCAGAGATCCACCTTACACCGGACTTCCGGCGGCTGATCCACACTCGAAACTGGCGATCGTCAAGAAGGCTCACGAAGAACGTTCGACCGCGATGTAACCAGGAGGAACTCCATGATTTTAGGAACGTTCATATCGAGAGAGAAAGAAAGAGAGAAAGAGAAAGATACGTTTATGCAACAAGTCTTTATCGTTTAAGGATCTGATTTTTACAGGTGTGAAAATTCGAAAGCAACCATCGTGCTGTGTTTCCGTGATCGTTTGCTGATTATTGTACCATAAAAAGCTTTGTGTTCTCAATTCTGATCTCAATTCAGTTACGTTCGAATTTTTCAACAGGAACAATCGTACTTTTTGCAAAATCAATCCTGCGTGTTAGCAGACGTAATTATATTTTGATAGGTTGCTTGAAAATTTTTAGATTATAATTACTATTAATGTTAATGGACGATGCGTGAGTTTTATTATGATTAATAGACTATAATTATTATTGTTAGTAAAGGGCGTTGATATGGCAGAGGAAGCAGGGATGGTGTGATTGTTTTGCAAATGTCGACACGTTGATTGCCATAATAATAAAAAATAGAGATAGAGACAGACATTATAGGTACGATCATTTTTCATTTTCAATCTGCTATATGCTTTTTCCCATCTCCTTTTTATAATTATTTTAAGAAAACTTTTCTTCTGGGGCTACCTATGAAATTCTAGAAATAGAAAAACTAATAGTTCCATATACAAAAAGTTTAACGTGGTTACTCAAAATAGCATATATCCTATATTAAGATTATGGTGCAGGTCACCAGCGACCCCACGGCAGTCAACGTGTTAATCTTACTTACGTACAATCTTTAATATCGTATTTAAAGTTCTTTCAAGAACATGTCATTAAGATTTAACTATACTTAATTAAAATAACAAAGAAGAAATTATACTATTTATCGTAGCTGTTTGAGCATTGAAGAGACCTAAATACCAAAGATCGAACATTTTCTTTGATTCAAAAAAGACAAGATTTCGACGAATCAACAAAAAGAACAGTCCTCGGGCTACACCAAAGTTAATGCCAAAGAGTTTCAGCTGGGAACAATAAAAATCATTCGGTATGGTCCTCGCAACTCGACGAGCCCGTCCGTACTCGTACCAATTAAAACAATGGGATTCGTAGCCGAGCTTCTTTTAGCGCGTGTCGAGTTGAGAGGCGATTCTTGTAAACGGAAACGATCAGACGGGAACACTGATGGTCCACGCGTGCCAACGTTTCTTTTTGATCTCTCAAAAGTTCCGAAAGCTTCGCGAAGAATACGAATTTCTTTTCGATGGTATATCTATTATAGACTATTAGATGTTCAACTATATATATATGTATATATACACGTACCTATTGGCTTTATTCAAAGAAGAAAATATTATTACCTCTCTAAGTGACGCGAGATTGGGTCCGCATTGTCTTTTACGGAGGGATACGTAGTGTTATTGTTATCGTGTTTTAATATTATATTGATGGACGATGTGGTGTCGTTTGTTAGATTAAAATACAAATTTATATTTTATTTTGCAACTGTATTTGTTTAAAATATATTCTACATACTGTGTGACGAATTAACTGATCTTCCTCGGTCAAACATTCTCTACAAAGATTGCAAGTACATATCGTTACTGAAGAAACATATTGTTTTTAAAAAATATTGAAAAAGAAAGAAGAAAAAACATTGCCACTTAGAGAGGCAATATCCTATCTACCCTAATTGTCATTTTTTTCTTCTAACATTCTGTATAAATTATTGTGGTGCGGGTCACCAGTGACAATTATGGATCTTTTTTTTTTTTTGAGAAAATAGTACTTGAAGGACTATTACGACCGTCAGACGTTTCTGTCTTTGACGAACTGAATAAACATATCCATACATCTCGGATTCTTCGCATTACGCACAAAGTATTTCTGATAGTAACGATTTTGTATGAAATTCACTTGGGTGGTAGCCATGAATTCTGAATGGATATATCTTTCTTTGAAATATGTATATTTAATTGAATGATATCAGAGATTTTTGGCTACCTCTAAGTCGAGGTCAAAGACCTTTTGATATTTTAAAATTCTTTTAAAAAAATCTACACATAATGGGAAAGAAACGTATTCTACGTTCGCACGCATGGACCAGACACAAGATCAAGACTTCATATAAATCTTCTGCTTTCATTTCGTAACCCCATTGTCAGTAAAATTCATCAGTATTAATTGAACGATAATTGATTCATTATTTAATGAAATTTTTAGAAATTTTGATGCTGGCAATTATTAATTGAAAATTAATTAGCCTTTCGATATTAACTTAAACAGAGTTAATACTTATCTATTGGATCTGCAAATGATAGCTAAGGTGTTAATAACGAAATCGTGCGTGCGGACAATTTTTCGCATACATCTCCATGAAATTGGACACCTGATTTAAAAAAAAAGGTAACAACATTATCGACTCATAGAATGTGACAAAACCAATTTGGGAAGGACCTATTAAGGACTATGAATCCTTTGAGTAGCAAAGACGTAGATATACGTCCAAGGGTTATCAAAAAGATACTTGCAATATTTAAAATTTTGAAATGGAACTCCCTGCAGATAGACGACCAATAAAAATAAAATTAACTACTCAAAGGCTTGATCCCTTGCCTTTCAACGTTGGATTTTATTCGTGTCATATCTAATCTAATTAAGACAAGTTGTATCTTTAAGTAACCTTACGTAAAAATTTTAAGAATTTCAATTTTCTTCATTTCATCGATCATGAAATAATTGATTCTATAATTCTGGATCAATGAAAAACACATAAGGCAAGGGTTTAATAGATCTGAAGAAGAATGACCTATCAATATTCATACAACATCGATTATTTCGAAATTCGAAATGATTTGGCCAATGCTCGCTGCCATTGCAAATTGAATTGATTCAAAGAATTCTCGATTTTTAGATTGCAAAAGGAATAGATAGCAGCGTATGGTAATATCTAGAGAAAGAGAGAGTGAGAAAGAGAGTATGAATGTGAGAGAGATAGACGAAAGAAAAAGAGTATATAATATACGTATATAAGAACCAAAGAAGAGAAGAAAAAAAAAAGATTAAAAAATGACGTGTAGATACTAATACATACGTAGAGATCAGAGTTTGAAGTTTATGTATTAAACATGATAAAGGATAAACGACGTCAACAAAAAATACATATTATACATACATATATATATACATATATATATATATAGTTGAAATGAATTTAATCAACCTTATTCTGTACGTGATGTACGTGGATGAATAAAATCTTTATTTTTTGGCCTGCATCGTTTTTATATGCTGTACCTGCGATCCATTCGTCTAATTATCATTTTTATAATTTAACGATCGATCACTGATCGATGGATTTGTTTTGTTATTTAAAGGGTGAAGAGTGGGTATTAGAGAAGAAGGTTGACCGAGTAGAACTAATACGTCCTAACTGTATTAGAACCTAAGCAGATATTTGGTATCAACGTAGTAAAGCTTCGTCGTCGAGGTGGGATCGTATCGTTTCGAGGATACGGCTTCTTCTAGAATCTAGATCCATATCGATTCGTCTACAAAGTACGAGTGCTTCCGTTTCTTTGCCAATGCCAATAACGAGTAAATCGTGCGATTACTCGTCCAAGATTCTTCTGCAAATCTTTGAATCCGAAAACGTTCGTTCAATTAGCAAAAATCAGAAATTGTAAAATCTTCATCTTCAACAACTCGTTAAATTGCACGATTATTATTTTTCCGTATTTATCGGGACAATCAATTTCAGAATTTTAAGAGCAAGGTAAAACACCGATGACTCCGAAACAGCCTCTGAATTCGGTCAAGATGGAATATATTAATGGATTGTTTGCACTTGACAGGGAAACCCTTTATTGTACCAAACATTTTTATTTCAACCGTTGGCTAAAATAATTTGGTCGCGTTCCAATTATCGACGAGGGTAAGAAATTAAGGGGATGAATTCTTTGGTCAGATTGAATTTTAATTACAGCCGACACCTTTACAGTTGATACATCCGTATAGGGCGACACACGATCATGTGGATTATCAAGGATATTAATTATTCCTTTTGCTGGTACGAAATGGCTGCGTGTTTCGAGTTACCAGCTTGACAGATTGCCATCGACCCACGTAATTAACTGCTCTGAGAACGGATCGTGAGCTCTGGCAATTTGCATAATTGGGTCGGCGTTGTTAAAACGTTATTTACGCAGCTACGTTTAATTTAACGCTATCTTTCGACTACTAACCCTTGCTTGTCAGAAATCTGGATGCGAAGAAAACATATCAATGAAATTTTGAAAATTTCCTATTAATTAATTTTCATCTCCTATTTTCAACTTTGCAAACTTAGCTCACAAATATCGGAAAAATAATTTTATGCGCAAATTAACAATTAAATAATATATTATTACATTGTTGAATCATTTACGACCCCTTGATGGAAAGCCTGAAATTTCAGCAACGCTATTCGCAAGCATATCGAAAGCAATTTTATCGGTGAAACAATTATTGGGATCCTCAACATTTCATACATTTGTAATCAAACGAAGATACAGGTTTTCGAGCAAGCACTCGTTACCCTCGTAAATTTCTGATATTCGTGGGACAGCCACTCGTCCGGCAGGATCAGGATAACAAACGAGCGCGGTTAAAAACACGAGCATCACATAAACTGGTCCAGAGAAAAGAAAAAATAAGATATCACTGGCATTTCATTAACTCGACCTACATATACACGAAGGCACCCTTCTACTCGTGTGTGTACAGTAAAATAAATATCGTTGAAAAATAATCGTCAGCCTGGAAACAATTTTCGTTCCTGTATTACGTGAGTTGTTTAAAATATTGTGAAATTCAATTATTCATTACGAGTCGCAGCTTGAATCTTTCATGAATTCTTTTATATATTTTATTAAAATCTCTTATTTCATATGTATCGTTTGTATTTTCACTTAGAATTACCGTTGCGCCCAGTTGAACCACCCCTACCGAGACACCCTGCAAACCCCTAGCACAGGGATTAATTAAATTAGTCTGTTTCTTTCAGGAAACTGCAGGATAAACCAAGGGTTCTCTACAGTACAAAGGCGGACGAAAAGGTGCCAAAAATCTTTGTACGGCAAGGGTGTATGTCGAATGTGGGCCAAGCCGAGCTGTAACGTAGAGTTTCAAGGAACGCCACAAGGCAAAGGGAGATTCTGACGTCAGCTCATTAAACCCATCGTGAAATTTGTCTGTAGGCAATGTTTCTCGACAGATAACGAAAGCACGTTATATCGTGTGTCCGCATCGGGCCAGGTTTACAAACAAATTTGGCCGATACTCGCGAGACGCGGATTAAAGGATTAAACACTTCGGATCCACGCGATCATCGAATAAACTTGAAATAACAAAGGTGAGGAAAGGCGTGATCGATGGTGAAAAAATTCGTTCACTTCTTTTCCCCTTGACATTTGGCTACCCGCTGGTTAATGATTGCAAAATCGATCGCGAAGTTGAAGAAGAATTCACGGACAAACGACTATAATTTTCCTTAAAGTACTTCAAGGTGTCCGGGGAGTTCTTAGAATTTCTTCCATGTCATTTTATTGAGTGCGATAGGACAAAAAGGCTCGCTTCGGAAAATAGATCAAATGTATAGGTGCTTTTCATGTTGCAATTAGAAAAAAAGATACCTAGGTTAAAAAAAATTTGCTTATACACTACTTCAGGCGGAGGCGACCGTAACGGAATACATAATGATATCATTATCAATTCCATCGCTAATGATAAGTCTAGGATCAGCGTAATAGCGGAGGGTGAGAGAAAGAGAAAGGAGGTGGGGGTGGAGCACAGAGAGGGGGGTAAACAAAGTAGAGTGGGAGTAGGTAGAGAGAGAGAGAAGAGGGGATAGAAGGAGACGCGACACGGTGGTTGAGTTCAGTCCGCGTGTTACCCCCAGCCGTAAAGCAGGGTCGCGTTTTCTTCACTTCCGGTTTGCCTCGTACCCAGAAGATTAAATAAAATCGTGACATAGCCGCGATACGTTTCGATCTTTTGCTCTCGTGAGTATCCAGTGAACCGGAAGTGACACAGGAACCAGTGAAAACGAACGGGAAAAAGTTGACGATCTCGCTGCTTTTGTTTCGTGGATTTTTAACAGGTAAAATATCGTTTCAATTATTCGTAAAACTGATTAGTTAATTAATTTAATATTTTTGTTCGTAATTGTTGGAAGATAGGTTCTTTGTCCAACTATTTATAATTGATAAATTTTATAAAATTTAATTCGTGTTTCGTGAATTTTAACCCTTAAGTTGATTTTATTACATTAAAATTAAAAAATTATGTCGCGGAATTGATTGATAGCTACTACTTAACGCAAGAAGACGGTCTGATCACAAAGCACAATACTACTTAACAGGGGCCGGCCGCCGAGAATGTCCAGTGCCACGAGGCTCCGTGTCGGAATGGTTAAATGTATAATTAATTGCTTTAGTGTTATTGATTTTGGTTGACTGTTTACAATGCAGTAGTACGGCGTTAATGACCATTAACAATTTACGGTTCAAGCGTGGCCCAGATAGGAGTGAAAATATATTGAATGTATTCAATTCCACGCGTGTCTTTGTTGTATTAATTTATTTCATTCCATTATATTCGAGGCGCCATGAAAAGTAAATTTATAAAAATCGATCGAAATATATCGAGTATCCACGGACATTGAGCTCCACTACGTGGCGTTTGAAACTTCCGAGGTCAGCCTTGAAATCTTCGACAAGGTAAAAGGTTCAACCCCAAAATATACAAATTGGTTGCACCGTATACGTCGGTTCGACACCGCTGACTTTGTCCGGAAAGTTTTTCAATTGGACGTTGATCGCAATCGATGCGTGTCGGGAAAACAAGAAGTATCTAACCGAGGCGCTTTCCGCTACGCGGAATCCACTTCCGTTTGAAAAGTTTCGTTGGCTGAGCGCGCGAAGTTTCCATACGATATTTCGAGCCAGAGTCGATTTGATTAGGAAGTTTAAACAAGCTTTAGAAAATGTTATTTTAAACAGCAAAATTGAAAATAAAATTATCAAACCTTTGTCATCGGTGTTTGAAAAATAATTTAGAAAATGTGTATACCAAATAAATCTATTCTGTAAATCTTGTTATGTAGAAATTTTCAAAACGGGAGATGTACTAATGTGAATAAAAATTCGAAGAAAAGAAAAAAGAAAGTTCTATTCTTTCGTAGATTAACGTTTAACGCTCGATACGTCTCGATCTGGTTCGTTTGCATTTTTCTTCTCGCCCGTCGTTCCGAGGCCTCAATCACGTACTCCATTGACTGGAAAATGTAATCCCGCATCGGCCCTGAATATTTTTATCTTGTTGCAAAAAATAATCGGCGAATAATATCGTCTTCGTACCTCGTCGTACCTATGAATAAACTATACCGACGCGTCTGTTGTCCTTTTGGTAAACGCTTTTACCTCGATATTGGCATCAGCTGTGCTCAAATTTGTTCCGATCTTCGTGATCGATTGCTCGACATATTGCAAAACAATTTCGACGTAAACTCTCTTCAAAATTGCTTTCATTTCTACTAAAATAAAACATTACAAAAGATATCTATGCTATCCGCGTCAATTTGTATTAAAACAAATATAATGGTGATTAAAGTAATAAGGGTTAATTACGGGTAAGAGCAAAGTGATCCTGTTCCTAATGAATGAAGAGAATTATTTCGAGCGAAGTGTTTGAAACGAGATAACAAAACTTGATTACACGTTGTAAAAGAATATCGTGATCACCGGATACATCGGGGAGTGTCACAGAGAATAAGACGTTATCTAAAATAGTCCAACGATTGTAGGTCAGAAGAAACAGGAGGGACACTTTTATCGGTGGCTCCTCTTTAACAGAGTACTTTAATCCTTCGTGGTTGAAGGTTAAGGCATTCCAAGCAATAAACTGTACCACCTAGACACCCTTGGCGTGTTACCAGCATCCCGATCCTACTCCTTTTAACGAAAAACACTTAAGCTATGGCTGGCTCTCACGGAAAATTTCATTTAATAATTTCATCCTTCCGCCGTTTGTATTTGAGTGACGCGTGAATTATCAGTGATGGTCTTCATTCGATTACGAACGATTTTAGCAAGTACAGTAAAATTTATAACCGAAGAAAATTGATTGGAAAATTATTGTTGGCAGATTCGAGAGGAAGGAACCACCCTAAAGCGTCCGATGCAGAGGTTAAAAAGAAAATCCTGATCGAGCCGGCACGCGCTCGGCGGGACGGTCGT